AAAACTACCGTACGTGTGTGACGGGTCATATATTTTATATGAATTTGCTGCGTTCGGAATCTCGAATCAGAATATCGAAACGTAATCCCGAAACGGAATTCCGTATGTATGTGGCGGGCCTAAAGCGCGGAGTGAGACAGGCCTGCAAAAACCAATGATTTGGCATGCGGTTTGACGTTTACGGAGGCAGAAAGGGCCGTGATGGCTTTCAATCAGCACGTGAAAATCATGCCCTCAGACCTCCTCCTAATGTTTTCAAAAATGCTTTAAATTTAAATTAATGAAAAAGTGTTAAAAATTTAATAGAGAATACTTTGAAAAGCAGTAAATATATTGGTTTACCTATAAATTGAGATGATTTTACTTATGAGTTACGGAAAACTTTCAGTATACCTCACGTATTCACAACTTTTTCCTTTACCGCGGAGCAAGAATGGATCAGCACATAAAATAATAAATTTATTGGTGCCGGCAGGCATCGAACCCGGGTTATTCGCTTATTGTGAAATTTACAGCGAAACCTGAGCTACCACGTGTTACGCAAAACTTTCAGTATACCTCACGTATTCACAACTTTTTCCTTTACCGCTGAGCATGAACGGATCAGCACATAAAATTAACAAATTTATTGGTGCCAGCAGGCATCGAACCCGGGTTATTCGCTTATTGTGAAATTTACAGCGAAACCTGAGCTACCACGTGTTTGCATGTTTCGAATTCTATATACTCGGCATATAGAGACATAACTTACTCTAATGTTTATTTGAACCCAGTTGCAACAGAATGTTTACATAAACTCATTTTTGTTAATTTATCATTTAGCATCTCAAAGTTTACTCTTACCCGCAAAGCTGTATATTACAATAGACAGATGGACATGTGGTAGCGTTGTAAAATAGAGCTATTCCGATTAACAGAGCTATAAATCACTTAAAAAGAGCACTAAAAGTTGTTAGGAATCAAGTTAATGCTTAAAGTTTTATTCTTATTTCGATTCCAATCATTTTAGCTTGCATCCGATTTTATTACCCACGGAGAAGTAAGAGGAACACACATGGACATTAGGTCACGACCTTAATGTAAACTGAAGGTGGGTCTACAGAGTAGACCAGATCCGCTGTTAAGGCCGGGAAGGCTGGTGCTTTCATGCGCACGTTTTTCCTGGACCACGTCAACGAAGCCTACTCGGAGGGTTGAAGGATAAGAAGGGGATCCGTTGCGCAGATGGTGTTATAAGCTTCCGGCCCTGGATTCACTAGCTCATCGAATAATTAAGTTACGACGAATTACCTAAATAATTACTGACATTTATTGGATTCTTAAAATAATTTAATAATAAAAACTGACGACGTACGCTTGTCTGCTTCGGTTGAACCTAACATTAAAGTATAACATGTATATACACAATTATTATCAGTGATTACTCGTTGAAATGTTTATGTAGTTATTTTATGATTTATAGTGCAATATTTTATGGTACCTATTTATAATTATAATAATCCATCTTGGGATAACGTTTGAAATCATTAGAATTGTATAAAAGGCCGCTAAGATTAATAGAAATTGTTTTTTAACCGCCAACAAGTGAACAAGTGAAAAAGGTAACTCTGCCAGTTTATGAAAGTGAATACAAAATATACCTATATCAAGTATAAGTGCATAGCTGCAAGTAAATGCCACCTTGACTATCCTCCATCAACAACGGAGACAATTAGGCGCGTATTGTGGTCTAGATAGGCGTGTCATCACTTTTCTCCCGATCAGTTAAAGAATCAGGAGAAGAAAATAATACAACGATTTTTAGAATTTTTGACTTTGCCTTTCTAATTACCCGAGTTTTGCTTACCATAACCGTTATAGCCTATAAAAAGTCTACTGCTGAACATAGGGCTCCCCTATAGGTTTGGTCCCCCTGTGGCTTGAAACACTTTGCGAAACATTCAAGCTGTAACAGGTATATTGCCTCAAATTTCATCAGTTATATATGAGGGATAATTGTCATAGTGACCACGTTTGACAGGTGAGTTGGCATCCGTAGTATTATATTTTCAGCTGATATTAGGAAGACGCTGCTGCCCTTGATAGGATTAGAGTGACAAACGAGCACACAGTCCACCTGATGATAAGTGGTTACTGTGGCCCATATACATCTACATCTATCTTCGATTACGAATCAAAATGCAGATGCGTTGTCAATCGTGAGGACTAAGATGGAATGCCTCGTTCCCAGTAAAAAGGGTCTCCGGTTATCTACACACACCATACGAAACACAGCAGCATTAAGCTGCTAATGGTTTCTTATATTTACGCGAAGACTACACATTAAATTAAACTAATTTTTACGATTTCTATCGCGTTTAATTTAACTTTTTAATTCTCGACGTTTCGGGTGTTTTACAGCACCCAAAGCACCCGATGGATAGAAACCGTAAAAAATAATTTCATTTAATTATTAAACTGCTATTTTACGCTGTTATGCTGTGAGAGCGTGTACCACGCTATTTGGACATTCGTGTTACTACTATACTAATGCCCTGCCACGTAAAAACATAATGTTTCCCTCTGTCGCCTCTTACGACACCCTCGGGATGATATGGGGTAGTGGATATTCTTACACCGCTACTAATCTATGACCGCCCCTACATGTCCATTTCGCTTAGAGCCTCAATATACACATAACCAAGTCACGTTTGGCCTGACGGGTTCAAACTCCCGGACCCGGACTACATCACCAACGAGACAGAAGTCTTCTAACAATGCTGTCCCTGTAAAGTGGAGGTAATGATTGGATATATATTTCTAAGTAATATAAATATATCGCTAGCGAACGGTATTCGCTAAGCTTATTTATGGAATAGGCTAAAATTAAAGTCACAAAAAACGATACCTTACAAAGAAATGATAATGACGAATGTTGGTTTTTTTCAGTTTTGTTTGTGCAGTATTAGTAGATTTCTAAAGTAGCTTTTTTAGTTCCATGGTTTAAATTCACAATTGAAACAGTGTTACTCATCTCCGCATCCGCATAGCGGCAGCTTGCCGCCAATAGCTGGTCCGCAATATTGCCAGCTCATTCGTTATTTTAACATTTTCGGGTAAAATTTTCTCTCATTTCTATTAATTTGTTATGAATCATAAAATTTATGGAATATGCGGTTTTTTCGAAATATTTTATTTAACCATATTAAAAAGATAGGTAATGTAAATTTATGCTTGATCCGATAAACCTCTAAGATTTATAAAACCTTACAAAATAAAAAAATTGTATAATATCACAGCTACAGAAGTTTGGCATGTGTTTTAAGATTTTATTGCTGAAATAGTTTGATCATAGAGTTTGTAAGTCAATTTGTAATGTTGCCTAATGGTATAAGTTTTAATGTGGTAACTATGAATACAATGCTGTCAACTCAGTCAGTTACGTTAAGGTTGGCGTGCGGTAGTAAGCCGATTTTCCCGCATAAAATGGGACCGAAGCAGTTCAATTTTCGCGAAAAATTTTAGAATGTTAAGTTAGAAAAAATTGCGTAATTATGATTATATCATATTTATAACACACGGTGTTTACTATATATATATATATATAATATATATCTTAGTGGTGATATTTTTAAAGATAACCAATGTTGTGTTTATAGATTTTGCTGGTAAGGTTTTGAGATAAACTAAGTTATTTTATTTAAATTTTTAGAAGGAATTGTGCCGTGATTACTTTCAAATCAATAACAATAAATTATTTATAAAACAAATATTTTATTATCCAACATTAGTAATTCAATCATTGATTGTATTGTTAATCGTTTTTTAATAAATTCATTATGTGAATACCACAGCCGATAACTTAAAGTTTTTATTATATTGAGAGTTGACAATTTACCCGGCATGCCTTTCGTCCAAAATCAATAATGTCTGCGCATAGCATTGTTCGTAGATATGCTAGGTAGCGTAGCGTATGACGCTCTATTGCCCTGGTCATTAGTAAAATATTCTCCTATATGTAAACCAAAGAAAATTACTGTCTAACACTGTCTTGGTAATATTTTATTTATAATTCGAAGCATTTAATTCTAAGCTAGGTACTTATCAGAATTCTAATTATTCGCGCTTTTATTTAATATTTTATGAAAACTTGTCAAATGACAATACATATAGGAATACATTTATACTTTTATTTTAATCATATTAGACTACAATAAACATGAGTTATTATAATATATTCGCATAGGTGTTAAAAGAAAACATAATTCCCCTAAACATAAAACTAAAATAGTGACACAAATTATGTACGACGCTTACGCAGTAATACTAAATCACACTCATATTTTTAATGAGTAATAACTATCTCTGATCTGCGGAAATTGCTAGGGATGGAATTGTATTATCGATATACTAAAAGTAATTATTATTTTAATTGAGTAATTAACGTTCTAGCTTACGTAAAATATGACAATTAAATGGCAAATTTTTATCACAGACGCACCATACCTGTATCTAAACCCAACACCATAAAATTAAAATTAAATTCTTGCTTGTATTACACAACAAGAACAGCGGTCCCATAATTTTGAGACGTTCATAACTCAGATTTGACACTGTTAATAGATGTTAACGGAATATACTCAAATAATATTTCTTTATAGTTTCAAATCAAATGATTATTAAGTGCTATTACTTTTTAAGCGAAAACCATATTTAAAATATAACCACATTATATATAGTATATCAGATCTTAACGTAAGATTTTAAATGTTTATCAAGACAAATTTTTTGTTTTGTCCAATTTTTTTTTAAATTCGAATAAATATAAAAAGTAATTTCAAGAATTAATGTAAAACATCGATAAAACATAAATATAACTTCGTTTATATTATATGCAAGTTTAAATTAATATAATGTTCTTGTCGCTTTAAAATTAACGTTGTTTTGAAGCAGCAATGGCTATACAGTTGAGCTGAAAGCATACGGCGATAGCAGTGTTCGAGTTGGAGAAGCTACGAAAAATGCGCTGGATATTCCCCGTGCCAGGTGATTATTAACAATTTTGGCATTTCAATATTTATCATATCATGATATACCATCAGATTTAATTAATTTAAAGTTGCTAGTACAAATATTATGAAATGAATTATATTAGAATATTATATTAGTAATTTAATTATTTCAATATATTTTATCGAATTTATATTGTTTAATAGTAAACTTTATTTTAAAGAAGCTAATTCAGTTTATATTTATGCATTTACATTTTATCTCCTCTTGTTTCACTAGTAAGCGATCATAAAAGGGAACTTCTAAGTAATCAACGAGTATATAACTAGAAAATATATAAAATATTTTTACATGTTCTCTACTTTATATAATTAATAGGGTAAAATGCGGGTACGACTTTCCATTGACGTCAGTGGAGTTTGGTGTTGATACGTATTTTTACAGAAAGATTACACTATTATAAGCACACACACAAAGTCTCATTATACGGAAACGCGTAATTTTTGAGAAAAGAATAATTGAAAATCAATTATTCTTGCAATGTTTATGTCTAATCTGCTAATAAACTGGCGCCATTTTGTAATGTCATTGTCGACGTCAATAGGGATGTCGATTCTTTCCGAAAAAGGTCGATTTTTAAATCGATTCAAATCGTAAGCTTATGTATCGGTTCACAAAAAATCGATTTCTAAAATATCGATATTTTTTTCATGTTTGCATTTATAATGTAAATATAAATCCATTTTATGAGAAAAAAATCCCCTTCATCATAAAAAAATAAGGGGACTGATTCATAAGGATTTCTGTATCTATTTTGAGACTGCTACGTCTCCGGCGCTGCGGGAAGAGCAACCTCTACGCCTTAGCGTAACAAATCGCAGGCATCCCTCCTCGCCTCCGCAGCTTCGGCTTGTTGGTCGCCTTCGGCGACCAGCCTCAGCCGCTCCGGCTCGTCCGATGCCTACGATTTGTTACAGCAAGCGGAGGCTGCTCCCCCTACGCGCCTCCGGCTCTATAAAACCACTCTAGGGGTAGGACAGACTCGTACCAGGTGGAGTCGGGGTCAGTCAATTCGGTTCTTTGACATAAGTTGAACCTAACCTATTTTATTTGTTACCTGCCCTAATAGGTACTGTTAAATAAAACAAATTTCAATAAGAGATCATTTATCATGGTATCTTTCTTGTTTTTCATAAAATGGGTTTATATTTACATTATAAATAGAAACATTAAAAAAATATAGATATTTTAGAAATCGATTTTTTGTGAACCGATACATAAGCTTACGATTTGAATCGATTTAAAAATCGACCTTTTTCGGAAAGAATCGACATCCCTATTGACGTCGACAATGACATTACAAAATGGCGCCAGTTTATTAGCAGATTAGACATAAACATTGCAAGAATAATTGATTTTCAATTATTCTTTTCTCAAAAATTACGCGTTTCCGTATAATGAGACTTTGTGTGTGTGCTTATAATAGTGTAATCTTTCTGTAAAAATACGTATCAACACCAAACTCCACTGACGTCAATGGAAAGCTAAGCCAAAATGCGTATTATGTTCGTTGTATTAGTACGCAGTTTTTACATATTATGTAGTACGTACACTTAAAACACATGAATGTAGGTGAAATTAATGTAATAATTTGTTGCATATGCAATTAAATGCAAAGGAGTAGAAGAAATATCAGTATTTTATTGCAAAAATATTTTTTATATTACGTAACATCGTTTTCTGTTACGGCACGGATAAATTTTCACAGCTAAGTTAAAAATCCTTAAACTAGTAAAAGAAAGTAAAGTGACGGCCTATACATTATGTATCAGTGCTGGGCACAGATTTCTAAGAGGGTGTTTGGAATAGAGAATATTTCGCGATGCTGGCACTTGGCACAATGCATGTTTTAAGTGCATATTTAAAAATACCATTGATTTTTTAATTTGTTTAATTTCTCACTAACATATACGTATGGCAATATGAGCATAAAATTGTGTACATAAAATTTCAATTAATAATTTCATCGGTGCCGTTGGGGATCGAACAACTCAGCTTGCTCTAGTGCTGGAAAATTTAAGCGAGCGCTTAATATGTAAATGAACATATATTCTGCTTCGTACTAATTATAACGAAAACCATTTCACATAACATGGTTATGCATATTATGTTTACTATGCTTATGTGTACTAATACCTGATCAGTTAACAAGAAGTCTGAACAGCTTTTTTTTAAACTCAGTTTGGAGTATTTTTTCAAATCGGGTAGTTCGCTTATTATAAAATATTCAATATTATTTTACAGAGATTTGGATATATTTTTTAAAACGTTTCTTTTGGTAAGTATTTATGGATTGTTAGTTTTCAGTATATGCAATAATCAAAATTAAAAAAAAATAGATCCAAAGATGTTCAAAGCTGTTTGGCTGCCTTTGCAGCTTCGAAAAGTTATTCGTAGTGGAACCTGACCGAGTTAAATTTGAAACAAAATAAACGAGATAACAGATTATATAACTAAGCCACTGCAATAGCAAATTCTCTATGATAAAGTTGTTTTAATCGAAATTTAGTTCTAGCTTTTGCCACTATTAAGGAAAATTAAAAAAAAAATACGAATAAGACAATGTTATCAACAAAATATATTTATGTGGAATATAACGTTCTCATACCTACGGTAAAATAAATCACGATAATGAAGTCTTTACGAATTGTTTGATGCAATAATTTTTAATATGTATGACTTATTGTTGTTCTAGTATAAATTTAATGTAAGTATGTCAAACTGTTTTTTAACCATTCATAGATTGTTATCGTATGGGTAGGTAACACACTCTCTTACCTTTTTCTGCCACTATCCATTTTAATCCATCTTCGGCAAGTCATCAAGTCATTATAGGTATCTTAGTACTAAAAGGTGAGAACGCATCTGTAACTCTTGTTTATTATAAGTAGGTTGCAGGTGTCCATGTGATGTAGTGGCCAGGTGGACTGTAAGTTCGTTTCTTTTATAGAATAAGAGTGACAAACGAGCACACAGTCTACCTGATGATAAGTGGTTACTGTGATCCATAGACATCTACATCTATCCTCAATAAAGACTCAAGATGCAGATGCGTTGTCACCCGTGAGGACTAAGATGGAATGCCTCTTTGCCAGTAAAAAGTGTCTCCGGTTCTCTACACTGACCATACGAAACACAGCAGCGTTAAGCTGCTCTTTTACGCTGGTTTTCTGTGAGAGCGTGGTCCTTCCCCGGTCGAGCCGACCCATTCGTGCTACAACTATAATACTAATATAGCTGCAGTATGGCTCTACCACGTATATGCAGCATGGCTTTACCACGTACCACGTGGTATTGTAATTATAAATTAGTATATTATAGTGCTGTATGTAGCTGCAGCATGGCTCTATCACGTATAAAAAAAAAGTTTGTCACTTCATTTAAAAAAAAAGGTATTGTGGAAGTAGAAACTTTAAGACTATTGTAATATTAGATACAATCACTATGTTGATATAATATGTATTACATTAAATTTAAAAATCATTGAAATTTTTTATCTTTTATATGTTAAAAAAATGCAATGCAATAAATGCACTAAAATGTTAATAATCTTATCGATACACGTACAAATAAAATACGTTCAACTCTAATTGCGTTCTAGTTACTGGCCGTTTATAAATTTAACGTCACTATTAAAAGCTACAGTTGTGTTTCAAGCTAAACAATTTCGCGTTTAATATCACTGGAAAACTACAGACAGCGGCAAAATCAGACAGAGATAAATGATTGATATTGTTGATATCTTTTTATTTTAGTATATTGTAAATGAAAAATAAAAATGAACAAAATGAACAGGTGGAGTTTATACGTGGTAGAGCCATGCTGCAGCTATATTATGATATATGTATTATGATAGATCCACACTCTCACACAGAATACCATCGTAAAATAGTAGTTATGATGCTGTGGTTCGAATGGTGACCGATGAGAACCGAAGACACTTGTGAAAAAGTGTTCTGGTCACTTACCGTACGAACTGCAACAGTATTTTCCTACCATTTTGCGCTGGTATTCTGTAAAAGTATGGTCCTTCTACGATCGAGCCGACCAATTCGTATTGCAATTATAATAACAGTTGCAATTTACGTCCTAAAACCTGCGTTATTCTACCTCGCATTCTGTTTGTGTGTTCGGTACAAATATTGCGATCAATTTTAAACTAATTTTCCGATTGGGTTTAAAGACTTAAAACTTTACTTATAGCTCAGAACTGGATGACAATGCAATATAAACTTTCTTGTCTGTCTGTCTGTTTGTTTTTCAATACAAATTTTTCAATCGATTTTAAACTAACCCCTTCTTCATTCTTTTATAGGCCTCCTTCATAGATTTCTTCATGAGGAGGGGAGGGTATTTTACCATAGCAACTATGGTAGGCGGGCCGCCGCCACGCGGTTAATCTATGGGGGAGGCTTATGTTCAGGAGCTTGTTTCAGAACTTTTTCAGGCTGTTATGGATTATTTTATATTGTTCTAGTATGTGAAGAAATGCACAATAATATTAAGAGGAAACAATCACTAATTAATGAAATAGTTGCTTTAATAAAATTGTTCTTCAATATGTATTTATTATTATAAAAATTAGTCCAATGTTTACCTATTCTACTGTCCCTCAAAAAATTACTTAATATACGCGATAAAATTCGTAAAAACTATAGTCTCTTATTTCCAATGAAACTTTTTTTTTTAATTTGAATTATAATTATTAAATCATTCATTTACCAATTCTAAACTGACGTGTAAAGTTCTAATATTTATTCAAGTGAACCAATAATATATTGCGTTGAGAACTCGACTACGGTAATTTTAGATTTATGAAACGTTAACGATATTTTCGCTAACCCGTTATATTATCATACTGTCTGCATCTTCAACACTTATGCTAAATTTATGGTATTTTAAATTTTTCGTAATACTTATTTGTTTCGAAAGCAATAAATAAAGTAAATATAATATATTACTTTTAAGTATAGTTT